TCTCACCGATATGTTTCGGCTCTTTCGTTTGATCATAGGACCTCTCTCTCTGCTCCACTGCCTGTCCCTTTCTACGTTCACGCTTGGCTAGCGTCGCGCGTAACCCGAGATTAGACACCTCGCTTGGATCCCAATCTCTCTTGCATATGTATATCCAGATTTTACTGTACTGTAAATTGTTAGGAAACCGTCTCTTGTGGAAGAAATACAGGATTGCCTCGAAATAAGCAAGTGGTCTCTGCTTCGAAATAAGCAACTTTTATGTCTCGAGCCACTTGCTTATTTCGAGGCAATCCTGTACATCGTAGAAAGGAAATAGATGAACAGCGATCACCTTCATTATACTATTCATTGTTGGTCATTTATTTCATTTCGATGGCCTTTGACATATAAAAAGCGGCACAAAATATCCTGGATTTTTAATATTTGTCGATCGGTTGTGTATTCTACATAATATCGAAAATATGTTGAGTTTGCTACAAACTGCTACACACGATCTGTACAGGAGACTGGTAAAATGCTGATTACTTAAGAAAAGCAGCCCGAAAATAAATCTGTTGTCAGATTTATTAAAATTTTTTTAGACAGATAACTTATTGTTAGTATATTCTTTCAGCATAGAATGTGTTATTATGCTGGATTTTCCCGATTCTCCTAAAAGTGTGCGAGGCTGGCAGAACGACACAGCTCGAGCGAGTTCTTGAATGCTGGCGAACGTAGAAAAAGACAAATAGCGAAAGAGAAAGAGGTCCGAGAATTAAAGGGCCCGAGAAAAAACATTTGAGTGAGACAACATTAATTTAACCATAACTTTTTTATTTTTCATTTTTACTAAATGAAACCTTTACCAATGTAATTGTAAGGTTCTTCTGATTAAAATGACACGAAACACGATATAGTTTGAATTGTAATTACTTACTAAAATTGATGTCAAAAGTTGGAGTAAAGCCAGAGAGATCGAATCAAAACATTGCGCATATCCAAGCGAGGTGTCGATTCTGCGTATGCACACATCGTTTATATGCAGCCGAGGTGTCGATTCAATGTTCTTTATTCTATTATTATTGCTTATTTATTTTATTATTATTCTATTATTATTGTTAGCTTGCAGATTACTTTAATTTTCAATAGGAAAAAACTGTCCGGTTTGAAATCACGGGCTTTTCCTAACATCATAAAGCAACTAATTTGCAGTCAATAGTTCCACAGCATATTCTGAATAAATAAATAAATAAATATAATTCAAACTATATGGTGTTCGTATCATTTTAATCAGAAAAATCTCACCAATGCGCTAATAAAAATTTTATTTAAAAAAAGTCAAAAATAAAAAAGTTTTAAAATTAAATTAGTATTAGTCACACCGATACGTTTCGGCTCCTCGCTTTGAATTCTTCGACCTCTCTCTCTTCTCTACTGTCTGTCCCTTTCTACGTTCACGCTTGGCTGGCGTCGTGCGTAATCCGCATTCGACATCTCGATTCTATAAACGAAATGCTTGGGTCCCAATTTCTGTTGCATATATCCAGGTTTTACTGTATCGTTCTCGAACCGAGACTTCAGCCTGAGAGAGAGAGAAAGAGAGAGAGAGAAAACGTGCGCGAATGTAAAACACTGAATGAGTGATCGCATGTATTTCAAACAGAGCGAATGATAGGTTGGATGAGGAAAGAGCGAGAGAGAATGAGTGGGAGAATGAGAGAGAAGCGTGTGTAGCAACCGGCAATTATAAACGACAGAACGATCAGATTTAGGGCGAGTGGCAAACTAAACAGTTCCCACAGTAGCAATTCTTGTAAAATCAACTCGTAATTAAAATTTATAACAATAATCTGAATGTAGGTATAATTATTATCTACAACATATGTAATCCTTTCTCATTCTGGCATTAGCGATTCTGATGTGTTCCATTCGTGTGATTCTACGATCATTCGGAAGCGCTTACAATTAGTGCCAAAATGAGAGAACATGTTATATTCTATCTCTTTTCAAGAAATAACATCGCTGCTCGGCCAATCACTTTATGGTTTGCCGCTACCTCCGATCTCTCACTCATTTCTCGTGTTCTCTATCGTCCCGTTTCGAGAACAAAGTCAAACCGTATAGCATACCTGCTCCGTAATAAACAACTGTTTGACCCTTAGCGAGTTGCTTATTTCGAGGCAACAGTACTGATTACTAACACTTTCCTTGCAGGCAATAGTTGAAAAAGGCAGCATGCCTCACGGTAAGTGAAGGTACCGCGGCGGAAGCATGTACCTGTGCAGGTACCTCCGAAAAAACAATCGCAAGTACATCTGCGGATGATTATCTTACAAAGAGATTATATGAAGAAAGCAGAAAATGTTGAAGAAATGGAAACTATCGAAGAAATTGTACAAGAAGATTTCTATACAGAAGAAGATCAATTGAATACCACCGATGAAGACGAAGAAATAAATTGGGTGGTAGAGAAAGCCGAACCACAACAGCCAAAAGAACCAATTTCGGAAGGAATAGATTTTGCTGGTTTTGCATATGTATTCGAAGAAATAAAAAATCTTGCAAAACATTCACCTATTGGCTGTGGCATTGAACATTTTGAAATGGATGTCAACAAAATGGCTTAGAAAAAACGTATAATGTACAGTGCCGAATGTGCAATTACGTAGGACACATTCCGTGTCTTTGAAAGAATGATGGCACTAGGGATATTAACCATGCCGCTGTTTCTGCAACAATGGTTACGGGCGGCGGATATAATCAACTGGAGGAATTACTCTCTGGCGTGAACATGTGTTGCATGACAAAAAGGATGTACGAGAAATGTCAGGATGACATAATCGATGGCTTCGAAATGGCCGCACAACAAGAAATGGAAGAAGCTGGAAAAGAGGAAAGAGAATTGGCTATTGTAAGAGGCGATGTGCTTGTAGGCTATAATATACCGTGGATTCCAGTTGTCGCAGATGGCAGCTGGATGAAAAGATCGTACCGCGGAGGAGACTACAATTCTCTTTCTGGCGTAGAAGCCATCGTGGGATATCATACGAAAAAAGTGCTGTATATCAGCATTAAAAATAAATTTTGTATGATTTGCCAAACAGCAGCAAAAAAGAAAGAAGCAGCGCGCGAACATCGCTGTTTCAAAAACTGGGGTCGTCAGCAAAGTTCAACCGGTATGGAAAGTGCTGCTATCGTCGAAGGATTCAATTGCAGCATAGAAATGCACGGGTATTACCATTTCTGTGCAGAAAAATCTGCTGTAATACCGACCGGCCAAATCGGAGAGGTCACGTGCCGTGTCTACCCCCTTAAGGTGATGCGAGCGTCGAGACCGAACTCCGAATTCCGCGTTGGTAAAACAGTCAACGTTTCATCGAAAATTAGGCCGAATAGAAACTGATTTAAGCGCCACCTCAATTATTGCATCCAACTAACGGCATGCTATTCTACATCACTTTTCGCATACATCTAAATGACACACGGATGCTACGATAGCTATATTATGTACGCCACCGCCAAAGTATAAAATACGATACTGCATACATCACCTAGGAAATGTATGAATGACCTAACTCCTTCAGCCAAATATTATATATACATTTATTGTAATATAACATAACCAAGGTAAGCCTGTATGTACAGGGTGTAAAAAAATTAAATGTCACGACCTATATGGGGTGATTCTACACCTCTGGATCGGTGGAGATCTGTCAAAGAAAGCGACCGCAAAATTGACCTTCACCCCTAATTTCAAGGTCAAACTTTTTTATTGGCTTATCGTATAGTGCTCATCGAGGGGATAAAAAGTCTGAAAGGAACCATGTGCCGGAAATCAATCCTTCTCCTAGAAAAAAGCCGTCAAAGTTTCCATATACCATAATGCATTAAACGTTGAGTCGCCCGGTACCCCTCTGCAGTGATCTTGGCGCGGCAGTCTCGCGTATCGCTCGAGGACAATTCTTGAATTTCAATCACAATGCCAGCATATAGGAAGGGTAAATTCTAAGAGAGCATATTTAAAAAGACAAAATAACTACTGTGTGTAAAAGAAAATAAGAATGAATTTAATTCACTGAAGTTTTGCACTTCGAATATAAACGCAAGATAAATGTTTAGTTTTATCATCTCACAGTTCGTTAACACATCGCAGTTATTTTCTTTTATTTTCTTTTATTTTCTTTTACACGCAGTCGTTATTTTGTCTTTTTAAATATGCTCTCTTAGAATTTACCCTTCCTATATGCTGGCATTGTGATTGAAATTCAAGAATTGTCCTCGAGCGATACGCGAGACTGCCGCGCCAAGATCACTGCAGAGGGGTACCGGGCGACTCAACGTTTAATGCATTATGGTATATGGAAACTTTGACGGCTTTTTTCTAGGAGAAGGATTGATTTCCGGCACATGGTTCCTTTCAGACTTTTTATCCCCTCGATGAGCACTATACGATAAGCCAATAAAAAAGTTTGACCTTGAAATTAGGGGTGAAGGTCAATTTTGCGGTCGCTTTCTTTGACAGATCTCCACCGATCCAGAGGTGTAGAATCACCCCATATAGGTCGTGACATTTAATTTTTTTACACCCTGTACATCGTTAGTACATACACAGGATAAGTAATAGGGGAATAAATGACAAGAATGTAAGTAGATAATGAAAATATTTATTATAAAAATACGAAAAAAACTTATACTAATTTAATAATAATAAAAATAACCAGTCACAGGTATAATATATAAGGAAAATAATAAAACTCGAAAAACCTTCGATTTCTATCTCGCAATAAATTTTAATCAAACGCATGATTTATTACAACAAAATATACTAATTTAATAATAATAAAAATAAAATTTTATTTTATAATTTTTTCCTGAAATCAAACAAATCATATTTTTATATTATCTGTGTCATTATTACTTATACAGATATTATCGTCGTACTCACTTCAAGTGTGCCGCCCGCAGCAGCAACTACAGCTGCTGCGGCCCGCGCCGCAGTTGTGCGTGCATCCGCACGGGCCGCTGCAGGGGCAGTAACTGCGGCCGCGGCCGCGGCCGCAACCGTCACGGCACGTTGATTGCCGCCACAGCCGCCTCGCCTCTCTGCGGCGTTGCCGGAACAGCCGCTGTTCTGACCTGTATGCCTGGAGAAATAAATATAATGTTATTATTCATAAACCACGAATAAGAGAAATAACGTAAAAAAACGACTTACGGTTGGCTGTTCCGGCCCGTAGAGCCCGGCTAATGGGGAGTGATACGTTGGATGCGTCGGCTGGTGTTGCGGCTGCGGCGGCTGGTGCGGCGGCTGGTGCGGCGACTGGTGCGGGGGCTGGTGCTTTGGCTGGTGCTGTGGCTGCGGCTGCAAAAATAAATATTATGATATTATGTATAAACAATAGCAGAAATAACGTATGAACATGAACGCAAAGAAATGACTTACGATAAGCCCAGCATGTTGCCATTCGCCCAATTCCTGTACTTGCTGCCGCAGGGTAGCAAGCTCCGTTTGGTTTTGTTGCATCTGCAACAATTGTTGCTGTAACAGCTGTTGCAGCTGCAACAGCGGCTCCGCGTCTTCTGCTTTTTTATCTTCAACATCTGAAAACAAATTGGAAAACATGGGTAATATGTACCTGAAATTGAATCAAATGAGTTTCGGTTTCTCGATAGAGCTCGACAAAATTTCCACTCTTCAACCGATTTTCAGCTGTCTCCGCTTACCGCTATTCCCTTTGCCGCGACGTTCATCACGCAGCCGCCGAACCGTTTGAGGCTCAGGAGCGTATCACTCGTAAACGTATGCTGGCAAAAAACGCATCGATAATAGTACCTCGTAGGTGGGGTGTCAGCATATGTTTACGAGTGATACGCTCCTGAGCCTCTAACGGTTCGTTGGCTGCGCGCTGAACGTCGCGACAAGGGGAATAGCGGTAGGCGGAGACAACTGAAAATCGGCTGAAAATTGCACATTTTTTCGAGCTTTGACGATGAGCTATACTTTACTAAGATATAAAATTACAATTATTCTAAATCTGGAATAAAATAGTAAAAGTGTATACGCGTATCCGTGAGACAATATAATATACGATTATTCCAACAATTATTGCAACAATTGTTGCAGAAACCGTTGGGATAGTGGTCTGTTTCATTGTCTCGGGGAGACGCGTCTAAAAAAGGCAATTTTCAAATTTTTTATTTCAGCCTGTGATGAAAATTTGACATTAGAACTACCAAAGGGGTCAAAATGATCGCTTTCCAGTTTCTTATTTGAATTTAAAAAATTTTATCAAGGTATTTTTGCTGTTCTACTGATATAATATTTGTAAAAAATATGTTATGTGTATACTGAACATTTCATCGAGATCGGTCAATGCACTGAGAAGTTACAAGTAATTAATTTCTGAAAATCGTGGCTTTTCATCCAAGAACGTAACTACTTCTGTTCTTAGGCGATTATCTGAAATTTACTTATAACTTCTAAATGCATTGACCGATCTCGATGAAATTTTAAGAATGCACATAACTCATTTTAATGTACGAAAGACATCAATGACACCCGCGAAGTAAAGATAAAAAGAAACACTTACTGTCGGTTTTCTCCATCTTCGATTCCATTACCCTGTTCTCTCCTTGGTAGCATTCGTTGAACTGACGATGCCAGTGAAATTAGAAAACGCGACAGCGTTGGCGTTTCGTTTTTGTTTCATATCTACGAAGCGCGTTGCCATGGCCCGCGTTGTCATCTAATTCTTTCTAACAATAAGACGTCTTCACGGTAACGTAGAAGACATATTATTCAAAAAATTTCCAAGCATTTGTGAAAAAAATAAACACAAATGGGAAATCAAAAAGGTAGTATTCGTAAAGGATTGCGTGTAGGGAGAAAACTCTCCCTGAAAAGTGGTTACAGAAAACTGTACGTGTTTCAGATTTATACATTTCAGTAATTTGTATGAATTATCCTATAAATATTTATAATTTTATGCGTTCTACCTTGCAGGCGACAGAAACAACGGCAATTGTCGACAATGAAGATTGACGCTGCTGTAGTTTTCGAAGAAAAATATAATGTACCACTAAAATCTTTTGGGAAAACTGTAAAGGACGATAGTCAGACAGATATGTCTGATAAAAATCCTTCATTTCTCCCAAATAATGTAAAAGATGTGGGGCGCATCTTATCAGAAAACGCCCTTTGCGAAAATAACGATGTGGGGCGCATCTTATCAGAAAACGCCCTTCGCGAAAATAACGATGTGGGGCGCATCTTATCAGAAAACGCCCTTCGCAAAAACGATGAAACTGTCGTTGTACAATGCGAATGTACAAGTGAGAGACTCACTGTACAAAACGTCCTGGACAATAGCGACGACAATTTCGTCGTAGGCGTCGGACACTTTGATGTGGGACGTATTTCGGATAATGTGCCAGAAGGCCGCCGCGTTGTTGACGTTCACTTCTTCTGGAATGAAATACATAGAACGTTCGACAATCATGCGCGAGGTATTGAATGTCATTTCCGCGATTGGAAAATGATCGGTAGTCGCCAGCATGGATGTCTGACACAGTTTTTCTTCAAGTGCCAAATGTGCAATTACGAAGATACTGTTTGGTCGGAACCTATGCATTCAGATATAACGAATGTAAATGAGGCCATGACGACCGCGACTGTTACAGTCGGAATCGGCTATGCACAATTAGAAGAATTATGCGCCGCCCTGAACATGCCCTGCATGGCTGAAACGACGTACCGCAGGTACCGTGAAAAACTTGTCGATGAGTTTATGAAAAGCGCAATGCATACCATGCAGGCAGCAGGCGAAGAAGAAAGACGGTTAGCTTATGAAAACAACGAAGTCGTCGACGGTATCCCGTACATAACTGTCATAGCGGATGGTAGCTGGATGAAGAGATCGTATGGTACGAATTATAATTCACTTTCCGGTGTTGGTGCCATTCTAGGTTTCCGCACAGGAAAAGTTCTGTTTATCGGCATACGAAATAAATACTGCACAATATGTGATATAGCGGAACGAAAAGCTAAATCCCCAAAACATCATAAATGTTATAAAAATTATGATCGTTATGCCAGTTCTAGTAGCATGGAAAGTGATGCTATTGCTGAAGGTTTCAATTGCAGCATTCAAATGCATGGCTTGATATATAGAACGGTTGTTGCCGATGGTGATAGCAACGTCTATCATACTATTGTGAATAACAGACCTTACCGAGAACAAAAAGTAACTGTTAGAAAAGTAGAGTGTACCAATCACTTACTTCGTAATTTATGTAAGAAGTTGAGACACGTTGCGGAGAAAACGCAAACGAAGGGTCAGAGAGCTCGTGGCTATGTTGCATACCGAAATATCATTAAAAAAAATATTTTAAATATTCGTAGAGCTGTTGTTTTAGCAGTCAATGCGCGAAAACAAGAAAAAGGGCCTCAGCATATCAAAGCTAGAGAACTTCAGAAGGACATTTTAAGTATTCCTAGCCATATATTTGGTGAGCATAAGGAGTGCAATAGCCGCAACCATACGTGTATGCCGGACGTAAACAGAGCTGAGAAAAATTACGTTCCATCTTTGAAATTGTTCGGTCTGTATAGCGAAGTCGAGAAAGCCATACGATTCCTCAGCTGCTATTCGGATAGCTTGTTAATGAATGTTACAAACAATCCCGCAGAAACTTTTAATTCAATTATCTGCAAAGAGATTGGTGGAAAACGTATTAATTTTGGTGCAAGAGGTTCCTACAATGCTAGAGTTGCAGGAGCTGTTACGCAATACAATACGCAACAAGTACTTACAGAAATGCATAAGAACATGTGTAAAACCGTTCCGCCACTAGTAAAGAGATTGGAGGAACGGCGACAAAAAAAAGTTGCAAAAACGAAACAATTTAGAATGACCTATGGTAAGAGAAGGAAATTAAAGCCAGTGCAAGGAACGGATAAATATTATGGTCCAAACTCGCAAAGACCAGATCTTCCGAGTGATATGCTGCTTCAACTTCGCAAGGAACATTTTCAAAAGCTTGCAGACAATGCAAAAAATCGTACAATAATAGAAACGAACACAAGAGAGCAAAACGATTCAGATTTATGGAGAACTTTGAAGGAGGAAATGCTAACTGCTTCGAATTTTGGAGCAGTGTGTCGCATGAGACAAACAACGTCCTGCGCAGCAATGGTAAAAAACATTTTATATCCTCCATTTGTCGATACCGCTGCTATGAAATACGGCCGCGATAAAGAACACATAGCAAGAAAAGACGTGGCGAACGCAATGAAAACAAGAATTCGAACTTGTGGATTGTTCATTGATCGCGACATTCCATACTTGGGTGCATCTCCTGATGGACTTATCGACGATGACGGTTTACTGGAACTGAAATGCCCGCAATCTGCCGAGAATTTGACAGCGACAGACGCAATAGAAACAATACGTCACTTACGAAACATCTTCGATAAGAGAGATATACAAGAAATGAATAGGAAGCACCAGTATTTCTACCAAGTACAAGGTCAGTTGCATATAACACAGCGGAAGTACTGCATTTTCGCTATCTGGACACCTCAAAGCATACATATGATCCACGTAAATAGGGACGACGCGTTTTGGACGAATCATATGGAACCTTTCCTAACGCGTTTCTACGAAGAATGCATGCTTCCGGAAATATTGGACAGCCGCCACAATAGACACATGCCTATTAGAAATCCAGAATACATACTACGGGCAAAAGAAGACGCATCAATTCAAAAATCTAGTAGAAAAATCACAAAAAAGCGTACATATGAAAACATGATACAGAACAGTGTTGAAGCGTCAAATATGACCGTTGAAGCAGTAAATAGCGAGTGTGTCATTGTCAGTCATTCCGACCAAGAAGAAAAATTCATAGATGATGATGTAGGATACTATATATTGGAGACTGCTGTTTCTTCCGTAACTGACGTACAGAAAAATGTACTACCTGTGCAAAGTAAATTAAACGATGAATCGTTAGATCGATTTTTGCGTGTCGTCAGAGAAACTGCTCCTTTTGAAACGCAGTGTCCTATACTTACAGTTTACAAAATTTATCAAGCCCTGCTGTAGTGACAAAAGCGTGCAAATAATTGGAGGCAACTGTTCTGATCACTGGCGAAGTATCTATTTCGACGGTCGCAAACTCCATGTATACGACAGTTTACCTGGCAGTGCATACGACAAGCTCGTAGAGGAAGAAAAAAAATATATTGCATTACGATTTCCTCATATTCGCAAAAATGATATACTTTTTGAAAGAGTTCAGGCGCAACCAGATTGTTACAGTTGTGGTGTATACGCGGCGGCATACATCACTACCATAGTTTTGGGTGGAAACCCTTGCTCAGAAAACTATTCCCATGACATACAGCGGCTGAGATGTCACTTCGTAAATATTATTGAAAATAATAGACTGTCGCCCTTCCCGA